TACCGCAGTCCAAACCGAGCATCAGAATGGGAAAGAAAGGTGATTTAAGTGACTTTGAATGTGGCATGGCTGTTGGTTCCAGACGGGCTGGTCTGAGCATTTCAGAAACTGCTGATCTACTGGGATTTTCACGCACAACCATCTCTAGGGTTTACAGAGAATGGTCTGAAAAAGAGAAAATATACAGTGAGCGGCAGTTCTGTGGGCGCAAATGCCTTGTTAATCCCAGAGGTCAGTGGAAAATGGACAGACTGGTTCAAGCTGATAGAAAGCCAACAGTAACTCAAATAACAACTGAGGTATGCTGAAGAGCATCTCTGAATGCACAACTTATTGAACATTGAGGCAGATGGGCTACAGAAACAGAAGACACCAGGCGTCATTCCTGTCAGCTAAGAACAGGAAACTGAGGCTACAATTCTCACAGGCTCACCAAAATTTGAAGAAGATTGGAAAAATGTTGCCTTGTCTGATGAGTCTCGACTTCATTCGGATGATAGGGTTAGAACTTAGCGTCAACAACACGAAAGAAAGGATCCATCCTGTCTTGTATCAACAGTTCAGGCTAGTGGTTGTGGTGTAATGGTGTGGGGGATATTTTCTTGGCACACTTTGGGTCCATTAGTACCAATTGAGCATCGTGTCAACACCACAGCCTACCTGAGTATTGTTGCTGACCATGTCCATCCCTTTATGACCACAGTGTACCCATCTTCTGATGGCTACAGTACTTCCAGCAGAATAACATGCTATGTCATAAAGTCTGAATCATCTCAGTCTGGTTTCTTGAACATGACGAGTTCACTGTACTCAAATGACCTCCACGCTCACCAAATCTCAACCCAATAGAGCACCTTAGGGATGTGGAAAGAGAAATCTGCTTCACGGCTGTGCAGCCAACAAATCTGCAGCAACTGCGTGATGCTATCATGTCAATATGGACAAAATCTAGGAGGATTTGTTGAAATCTATGCTGGTGTTTTAGACTTTAGAATTGCATTATGTTTTCTGCACATTTAAAACTGCAGACCTTTGATCCTAAAGCTTGCATGCATTTTGTTTAACATTGTTCAGCATCTCAAAGCTTTATTTTTTGATAAATATTAATATATGTATTTAAATATGAAAAATGGAACACAATTTTCTAGCCCCCCCTGTGAAATTCTTTTTCACATATTTCTCAAGTGCTGTTTAATGGAGAGAGACACGTTTTTTAGACTGATTTCTCACTCACTGACTTTATTTCGGCTCATTCCATGTCTTATCAGGGGTCACCCACAGTCTAATTAACACTGTGGAATATTACTCTGGCAATTGCTTTACACAACGGATGCCCTTCCTGCCGCAGAACACCCACATACTCCCATTCACAAACTACGGCCAACTTAGTTTTTCCAATTTTCAAATAAACCACATGTCTTAGGAAAACCGAAGCACCCAAAGGAAAGCCATGCCAGCATGGAGCGAACATTTAAAATCCACAAAGAAAGGTCCAGCTGTGACTTTCTTGTTTTGAGGCAACTGCGCTAACCACTCATCATGGCAGCCATAACTGATTTCAATAACTCTTTTTCACACTATTCATGACTGGCCTATTGTTCACTGTTAATTAGCTTATAGTTTATAAGCTGTTTTATTAATTTTTTTTATAACCAGTTTCTTTTATTTATGCCATGATGTCAGTACATGATATGTTATGGCTGTTTTGCAAGTGCAATAGGGTATATGCCAAGTTAGTGCTGTTCCCATGCTAATACACTTCCGGTGACCTGTTATTGTGAACTTTTTTCCATTTTATACAGTTCCTTATACAGCATCGATGTTGTAATGTCATTAAAATACATTCAGTTAAATAAACTTTAGCATTTATTTGGTTGCTCAAGCGTAAAACGAGACAAAAAGCCGTTTACTCGCACGAGCCCGTCAGAATCGGCAGGCTAACGCAGAAGCTCCATTGAATATACTGGGGTAAAATAAATGCTCATATTATAAAGACATGGCAGGGGAAATGTAATTTAATGCAGTGCTTCTTGTACAATCTGAGACCACCTTTAAATCAGATATCACTCAGCTAGTGGAAATTGCTGATTTTAAAAGAAAACAGACCTTAAACGCAGCGGATTTCGCATTGACATTCAATTCGCCGGAAGCGCTTAACCCAGGTTACTGCAAAAAGTAAAAGTCCTATTAGCATGCTTCGGCATATACCCCATTAAATGGCTTAATCATAGGTTGACCAGGCAAGTTGGGTGAATTAAGCCAGTCATTGGACAACAGAGGTTTGTTCCGTTGATAATCGAGGAAAAAAAATCTTAACAAGGCTAATAATATTGACCTTGTTAGTTTTTAAAAATGTTTTGGTTTCTTTTTATTCTGGCTAAACTAAAAATACCATTCAAAGTTTTTTTTTTTTTTTTTTTTTTGTGCGAGTTAGCAAATAATCTGCTTGTCAGAAACTAAAAAAGCCTTGCATTACTGGAAAATATACCAGTGCGTGATCAAATGGAAAGCAATACCATTCAAGAAACCAAATAAATATAAAAATAGAGGTTGTTTCATCATATCCTGTGTGTCAAGAATGTCTTTATGTACGTCAAGGAATGCCCACGGTGTCAGAAGGTATCCTAATTTGGTTGTGCTTTACAATAAGGTTTCATTAGTTAATGTTAGTGTAACTTCTTGTTACAACTTTAATGTAACTAACGTTACTAATATATTATTAAAATCCAATGTGATGCTGGTAAACATTAATGTACTGTGAGTTAACATTAACTAACAGTAAATTATTTCATTTTGATAATAATAATACATTTTATTTGTAATGCGCTTTTCTTAAACTCAAAGCGCTACAGGCAAAATATTAGCAACACAAGGCAAGCAAAACAGCACAACAATAAAAGATGCAATAAAACAAAAATATGAACCATAAAATTTTGCCATTAACTAATGTTTACAAAGATAAATACTGTAATGTGTTCATTGTTAGTTCATGTAAATACATTAAATAACATTAATAAATGGAACCTTCTTGTAAAGTTTTACCCCTACTTTATTATTATCTTGTGCTAACATGATTTTAAAAAGTTCTTTTGTACTTCAGCTTAAGTAAAGTTGGACTTAATGCTTTAAAAGCTTTAGTTAAATACCAGTTCACATTGTTTACTACTGGCTTATTGCCTGACGGTTAATAAGATATTAACTGTTTATTAGCACTTCCAAAATATGATCTTATTTTACATCCCTAAACTATACCCAATACCTTACTAACTATAAATAAGCAGCCGATTAGTAGTTTACTGAGCTAAAAGTAAGTATGTTCGAATAAAGTGTGACCGAACTAAGTTTTACTGCAGTATTATTTGATTAATTGGGGTATTTGTTATTTTACTTGAGTATCGAATTACTTCATGACCAGGTGCTCTCTTAATAATTTCTGGAAAAATAACATGTCAGAGAGAGGAGCGTACAAAAAAAGATCTGCAGTATGCATTTGATTTGAAAGAAAGAAATTAAACATTGTATTATAAGTTATAGTTTGCAGATCACTCGGAAAAAAAAATATGAACTTGATATATGACACATTTTGTCAGCACTTCCCCGCAAAAGACTTAAAATAGTTCCACTATTAAAAAGTTAGATGACATTTTGGTCACACTTTATTTTAAGATACAATTCTCACCATTAACAAGGCTTTAACTCCGTAAACAACTAATTATCAAGAGAAAATTTGTAATTATTTGGCTAATTATTTTGCCACTAGAACATCTCGTATGTTACTTTATAATAGTTTGTCTCTCTTCTAAAAATGTCACAATTATATCTGAAATACAGAGCACAAAGAAATACAGAGAGGGGAAAAACAAGCAAGTGACAGATATCCAAAGATCTACTTTCCATTAGTCATTTCTTTTTATTTCTTTCAAACATATTACAACAAATAAATACAAATATTATAATAAATATATAAATAAATAAGTTACATTATTCAATGGTACATACGAAACTGATTTATGGGTACTCTTGCATAAAAATGTACATAATTAAAAACAAGAACCTACAATCACATGAAATGAGTAACAAAAGCAGTATAGTTCTCACAGAGATCAGGAGATTAATCCAATGACCGTGATCTCACTTCAAAACTTATGAGAGGTGGTCATATGCTCACTAAACAACCTTTAAATAGACAAGTAAACAACAAGTATTTCACATATTAGCCCTTAATCATGAAACACTGGTAAATGTCAGCGATGGTTTGGGAGAAGCAATGGAAAACTTGAAATTGCTTGTTGTTTTTGATTATTATTAACACTCTTTAGGGAACTTTATGAAAAGGTTCTGTTATTGTCACAAGCTGAAAACCTCCCAATTTGATACGATTTTGAAGCACATTTTCTAAGAGTGAGTAGTCACCCATGACCACAAAACCTTATGTTGCACATGTACACTTTAGGCAGTAGCCATTATCTACATGTCAGCCATAGTCAATATTAGCAATAATAATAATAATAATAATAATAATAATACATATTAAATTATAAAATTTTACTTTATTCTGATTATTTTTTCTTTATTAGTATTATTATTATTATTATTATTATTATACACTCTCAGAAATAAAGGTACAGGAGCTGTCAAAGGGGCACTACTTTTTTAAAAGATACATATTTGTAGCTAAAGAGACCACAGTGGTACTTCAAAGGTACATATTAGTCCCCAAATGCATCCTATATGTACCAATATGATCCATTGAGGTACCAATATAGTCTCCTCGGGTACAAATATGTACATTTTAAGAAGGTACTTCCCCATACAGCTCCCGTACCTTTAAAGCGGAGTAAACTGCCAATTTATCCAGCATATGTTTTACGCAGCGGATGTCCTTCCAGCTGCAACCCATCACTGGGAAATACCCATATACTCTGACTTATACACATACACTACGGCCAATTTAGCTTACCCAATACACCTGTACTACGTCTTTGGACTTGTGGGGGAAACCAGAGAACCCAGAGGAAACCCACTTGAACAAACTCCATGCAGAATTGCACAGACCCAGCTGAGGCTCGAACCAGCGACCTTTTTGCTGTGATCATGCTACCCACTACGCGACTGTGATGCTATTAAAATCATCTATCAAAGATACTGTGTAAACTTCCTATTGTAAACATATCAGTTTTGGGTCTGAAATGTACATTGAGAAGTACTTCGTTTACATGGTTTAAAGGTGATTATCTCAGTGTTTTCTTTTTGTTGTATCATCAGATTCCAGATTTTCAAATAGTTGAATATCTCAGCCAATTCAGGTTCTGGTGATCTCAATTTACGGACAAATTGTGGTCCAGGGTGTGTATACGTCTTTAAAAGAGCCATGTCAATTAACAAAATCAAATGAAATCAGTAGAAATCATCACATGCATAGCTTATTTGATGGTACTATAAGTCATTTGGAAAAGCATGGCCTGACTTCATTCTGCTGCAGTTTAAAGGAGCTCAAGAATAAATAATATGATCATAAATAAGTTAAATAAATAAATCCTGAATAAATAACCAGTTAATAAATACAAAAAAATACAAATAATGGAAGTACAATTGTCCAGCAACTAATTAATCCCCTTTGCCAAAATGTTTCATTGCTATTACTCTTTGGTTGTCGCTTCAGCATGTTGCATCTCGTCACTGTCAAGCCCAAAGAATGCTTCAGTTGATTTTCTTCGTTTGTTTTTCTAACTATGCATACTCTATAGAGTACGAATACATGTTCTCCATAGAGAAATAGATTTTAAACAGAAAAAGAAAGTAATTTCTGAATATGTACATTCAACTCTGGGTGAAAACTGAAGCATACTTTGGGCTTAACAGACTAGACAGCTCATACACGACATTTACACAGACAGCGACATTTACACAGAGCCGCACTGTACTAGGGGTCTCTGTGATGGATATGTCAGTGGTCATACACGAATACTGAGGATCCTCTGAAGGATGTCACAGCTGAAGTCCCGCAGTTGATGCAGGATTAGGTGAGCCGCGGCCTCAGTCTGGAAATCACTTTTCAGGTGTTGGGTCAGATTGAGCTTGAAGCTCTGGGACTGCTCTTCTGATGTCTGCTGTGATGGGTTAAATCCTGACTGATTCTGAAGCTGTTGAAAATACGCAAATATATTGAGTGAGCAAAGCTAAATAATATTAGTTGCACTTTATTTTGCAGTATGTGAACTGAACTTGCATTGAAGACCTGAATATTCTGGACTAATTCATCCAAAAATGAAAATTCTGTCATTTACGCTCAATTTTCATTTTACCAAAGTAGGAGAACAATATTATGGAAGTCAGTGGTTACCAGTTTCCAACATTCTTTGAAAGAAACCAGTAACCACTGACTTCCTTAAAATTTCCTACTATAGAAAAATGAAATGATTCCAGCACTCTTGAAAATATCTTCTTTTGTGTTTAACATTAAAAGAAACCGATAAAGGTTTGGAAACACTTAAGGGTGATTAAAAAGTTATTTTTTTGGTAGCGCTTTATTTTATAATGCCTGTGTTACAAGTTACACGAAATTAGTCTAGTAATAACAACAAATTATGCAGTATTAGAAGCAACTGACCAAAAAACTTAACCCATATCCTAATTCTGAAAGCACTTTATTTTGTAATCCTGTTTTGCTTGTGCATAAGTGACCATGGACCACATAACCAGTCACCAACGTCCAGATTTATGAGATCTGAAAACTTTCCTCTGATGTATGGTTTGTTATAATAGAACAATATTTTAACAATATTAAGATATTACCAATAAAAAAAATCGAAATACTGGGAAAATCGCCTTTAAAGTTTCTATATTTACTTCTTAGAAGCGCATTGCTATTAAAAAATAAGCTCAAATGTTAGACATTTTATTGTATGTTCTTTGTGATTTACTAGCAGCACTGTTGCCAGCAATTTACTGCAACTGCCCCTTTAAATGTATTTACCTGTAAATGTTTTTTACAGTAGCAGGGTGTTCTATCGCAATTTTGTTTTACTGTAAAATAGCCTTACTGCAACTTTTTTATTGCTAAAATGCCCTGTATCATAATTTACATTTTGTACAGTAAGACTGTTTACAGTACTTTTACTGTAGCTTATTTACATTTCACACATTTCACAATTTACTATTGAATTAAATTCCAAACAAGAGATGAGATCATGTAGAACAGTTTTTTTTTATTGTTGATTGTTATTATATCCATTTTAAATGGCTTGCAAAAGTAATTTTCATTCATCAATCTGTTATAAATATATTTTATGATACATGGTATTAATTAACTATTTATATAGTTTTTATAATCTGTTTTTCCTGTAAAAAGAAATACAAAGAATACATGTACAGAAGGAAATTTGCTATATGTGTTCATAAAAGATGATCTTTGTTCAATATTCTAGTGTTTTTTTTTTTTTTTTTTTTGCCTAATAATTGATATTTTTGACTCAGAAAATGTATTTCTGGTTTGAATTCCTAAGTCACACATACACTCAAAAAAAAAAAAGTACGCAAGCTGTCACTGGGGTGGTACCATTTCAAAAGATACACATTTGTACTTAAAGGTTCCATATTGATAACTCAAAAGTATACAGTTGAAGTCAAAATTATTAGCCCCCTTTAGAATTTTTTTCTTTTTTAAATATTTCCCAAATGATGTTTAACAGAGCAAGGACATTTTTACAGTTTGTCTGATAATATTTTTTCTTCTGGAGAAAGTCTAATTTGTTTTATTTTGCCTAAAATAAAAGCAGTTTTAAATTTTTTTAAACACCATTTTAAAGGACAAAATTATTAGCCCCTTTAAGCTAATTTATTTTTCTATAGTCTACAGAACAAACCATCGTTATACAATAACTTGCCTAATTACTCTAACCTGCCTAGTTGACCTAATTAACTTAGTTAAGTATTTAAATGTCACGTTAAGCTGTATTGAAGTGTCTTGAAAAATATCTAGTCAAATTTTTTTTACCGTTAACATGACAAAGATCAAATAAATCAGTTATAAGAAATGAGTTATTAAAACTATTATGTTTAGAAATGTGTTTAGAAATAATTCTGACTTCAACTATATATAAGTACCTAAAAGTTTTAAGAGGAGCACTTGTACTTTTTAAGAACTAATATGTATTTTTGAGGTATTAATATGGACTCTTAAGGTACGAATTTGAATCTTTTAAAAAAGTACCCCAGTGACCGCTTGCGTACCTTTATTTTAGAGAGTGTAAGCTCTCATTAAAGACATTACAGAAACTGAGTAACATGCTTTAAAGTACACTTAACATGTAGTACAACAGCTCTTTTTTATGTACGCTGTTTGTACACATTAATGACATATTTCGAAATAAAATGCAATTCTAATTGTAACCACATAGTAAGTACATGTAATTAATTAGTATCACTTTATTCAAATGAATAGTAACACTCATACAAAACCACCATAAAATTAAGTGTAACTGACAACTCAATTGAACAGTCCTTAAGTGTGAAGAACGTTTTTGTCATCGTGTGCCAGTCATTCAGACTTCTCATGAGATCAGATTGACCTTCCCTATTTATATTACACTAGTTCAAACGCACCACTCGGCTACCATCAAGGCAAGGCACTGCAATCTGATGCCAGGCTAGATTTAAATTTAGCCCCATGTAAAAGTGAGTTTGTTCGCTGAGTCCTTGACTCAACTATAAATTCAGGAACTGATCCTACATGTCAGTTGTTAGAAGAGAATCATAAAATGTTCTCTACTCACCTCCTCGATAAGAAGCACAAGTTCTTGAATGTCAGCCTGCAGTTCTGTCACCTGGTCAGTCTGCGACAGGGTCGTTGCTTCAATGAGATCTTTCAGGAGGTTCAGATGTAGTTGCAGGCCCCTCACTATTTTATCAAGACAGGTTTCCTGTGACAGAGAGATGCCATGGTTTATGCAGTCCTCTTGTAAGTCTTCTCTAACTATTACAATGCTATAACAAATAAAAGCACTGTTTTCCCATACATCTTAGACCAGAGGGGAGGACCAGAGGGGTCGCTTGGTGATTTTCAAAAATCAATAAATTTTTGTTAAACCTTAAGACTTACTGTATTTTATCAATAACCTACTGAAGAGAAAAAATTGTTGTTTATAGTTACTATAAACTATATAGTTACTATAGTAGCTTATAGTTACTAGTTCTATTGGATTGCGATTTCTCGGGTAATTACATTATACTAAAGACACAGCAATACTGTCAGATGCAGCAGATTGATTTTATAACACCAGGTTAAACTTTCTAGCCCATTTACAGCACTGACATACATAAAAAAACACTTGGGTCTATTGATGTGTGTGCGTCATTGCATACAAGGTTTCTGTATTTATAACCACCACCTCAGAGAATATTGGGGGTCACGAGTCACTGGCATTGTCATTTTGGGGGTCGCGGGCTAAAAAGTTTGAGAACCCCTGAGTTAGACTGATTTTTAAAAAGATAGTCACCATTGTTCTTTCTCTTAGACTGGCTTTATCTTTATAAAGTCTGTTACGAACATTTGTCATGTACATTTGACCAGTCTAATTTAAGAAAGTCTGAGCTCTCGGCAAAAACATGGTGGTTATGCACAAGCATCGAGTTCTTTATTTGTTAGAAAGAAAGTGTATAATGCACTTTAACAGTCTGCATAGATTGTTGATAATTATTAAAGCAATGATAATTGGGTCTCACTTTATATAAAGTGGCCTTACCTAATATGTACTTACACTGGAATTAATAGTTTGTTACAATGTACTAATTGTGTAAATACATGTATTTATTGTGTACTTCTGCTTAATTAAATACCTGTATGTAATTACATCTGTAATTAACTTCTGTAATGACATTTGTAAATACACTGTTGACCATCCCTTACACCTTAACCCACCCTTAAACCTACCCATACCAGCAAACCTGTCCATAACCCAACGTCTATCCCTACTCAAAAGCTCCACAAGTGTTTTCAAATACATTATAAACACAGTAAGTACATTGTATTTATTTCTTGATGCAAGTACATTATAGTTAAGGACACCTATTATAAAGTGGGACTGATAATTGTTTGTCATGCATGACTAAACACCAAAAATAAATCTGAAAAACCTCTTGGAACTCACCAGACTGCTGATATCAGTGATGTTCTGGAGAACAGGGGCTGAGGGTATGTAATGTTTCAAGTGCTGCAGCTTATCTGTGCTGCTGCCCCAAGCCAGACTCTGAGAGAAAAGATTTGACTTGTTTAAACATGACAGGACACTTCTTGCATCAACCATGGATTACTACAATGATCTATGCGCATACCAGAGCAAAGAAAATTTGCATACTGTGAGCCCATGAAGCAATCAGTTGTCAACAAAAAGGTCAACTACGCAAAACGTTCAATTGAAACACTTTTACATGTCAATATGATTAGTGTAAGTATTGTTTGTTTAGTTACTGTACCATTAGATTTTTACATATAATGCAGTAATTTCAAGGAAAGATTCAAGCATTCAGAAATGTCTTGGTCCATTGAATACTAATAGATTTACAAAAGCCCACTCTGTAAAAAAATAAATTAAATAAAATAAATATATATATATATATATATATTTATTTAATTTATTTTTTTACAGAGTGGGCTTTTGTAAATCTATTAGTATTTATTATATATTACAGTTTATTTCCGGCAACTGGGATAAAATATAAGCTGTTAAATTACAGAAATGTACAGTAAAATAAAGGATATT